GTCTCTGAATGTCGCCCGGTCTAAAGACTCTCCTCTCGTGGGGACAGATCAAAGTGAACGAAAGAGGGCGGCCCGAGAGCCTGACAGACGAAGAAGAGGTCGGGTAAGGTAAGTAAAATGGGTTATGCAGGTGAACAAATGCGCCTTCCGTTGGCTGGTTGGCAGGCGGCTTTCGCAGGGCGAAATTCACAGGCAGGCTACCTCTTTGTGCAGGCGCAAGACGGTGGAAGCGACTGGGTCCGAGTATGAAAGTGAGAGAATGGAACGTTAGGTTGAGGCAGCTGCTCTAAATCGGCAGTTTGGCGGGGCATGAGGGGTAATTTTAGCGTCCCAGTCTGGGTGTTTGATGCAGGAGAATCGCTGCAGTGTGGTGGGAGCGCCGCCATTGCCTCTCTAAATTCCGTCCACGGGTCGCCTCCAGGTGCCTCCTACCCAGTACGGGACGGATAGCCCCACAGTGGCCGACGGATGATCGCTCCGGGTGCTGGTCCCGTCTTGAGCCTGAGCCTTCAGTGACGGGAGGTATCTAGGTAGTGACGCCGAGCAGCCTGGATGTCGCGAGGCAGTGGAAGGGTTTAAGGTATGCGGTTTCTAAACTCTCTGTTGCCTAGAAATAGCCTCCTGTTCAGAGCAGCAACATGATCCCTTCCTGCAGGCTATTTGTCAAGGTTCCATAACCGCATCTAACCGTGTTACAATGCCTTGGACCAGCGGACATTGAGGTGAGACGATGACGGCGTATCTGCATATCTTATCAAGGCCTGCTGGGCGTAAAGGTACTAATTGATACCTCATCCTGCTATCACAGCACAGCTTTGTGTTCATCCTTGGTTCTCATGTTCCGTTCTATTGCAGGTATCCACAACACCATCGGGTATCGGCATCATACTTCCAGTTGGACGATATGTTTACTGCCTGCTTTGTTCGAGATCTAGCTGGCATAGTTTAGGAGGAACTGAATTGCCAAATTTATAAAATTAACCATGCGGAAAGGAGTTGAGATTTCGTGCATTTGCATGCCGTCATGCTACCGTTTGATAGATAACCGCATGCGCGCGCATATTGCTTGTTGACTGATTGAAATTTATAGAAATTTCAGAAATCGAGAAAGCCTGCAAGAAGCAGCAAGAGCCTGCCTTCTTTTCGGCACACCTGGCTGGAGGATGCAAATGAGACGCCAGAGGGAAGCTTTGCGTCACATTCAGGCAAGGCACCTACCTGTCGGTGGGGCACCGCGGGGTTCCAGTCTAGACGCGGTCAGTTCAGACCCCTGTCGGCCAAAGCTACCAGTACGCGTCAACTCCACGAGCAACGCGTCTAGCTTAATTGATTTTCCAACCGTCACCACGACCGCGGCACGACCGACCTACAGCGACAATTGACGATCGGCCTCAATTCGGAATCCAGCCCGACCGAAACCTTCGATAAAGAAACATATTACCAAATTTTAAATGGCGAGCTTCTTCGACCTCAAGGCCAGGAAGGCGGCCGCTGCAAACGGGGCAGCCCAGAAGCAGGAGAAGTCTTCCCAGCCTCCGAGAGCGCAGCCTTGGGTTGAGAAATAGTAAGGATTATTTGGCAATCGCTATGGGTTCAAAGCATGCTAACCGTCGATGATAGCCGTCCAAAGACCCTCAGCGATGTCACCGCTCAAGATCACACCGTTACAGTCCTGCAGCGGACGCTACAGGCTTCCAACGTGCGTCTACCCACGATACGCTACGAAACCCACGAAACCTTGACCTGCATGCTGACTCCATTCCGAAGCTTCCACACATGCTCTTCTACGGACCTCCCGGTACCGGAAAAACATCAACAGTCTTGGCCCTCGCCAAGGAGCTCTACGGCCCCGAAATGATGAAGTCACGAGTCCTGGAGCTCAACGCCTCCGACGAGCGAGGAATCTCCATCGTCCGTGAGAAGGTCAAGGACTTCGCCCGCATGCAGTTAACGAACCCGACGGCCGAATACAAGAAGAGATACCCCGTTCCACCCTTCAAGATTATCATCCTCGACGAGGCCGACTCCATGACCCAGGACGCCCAGAGTGCTCTTCGCCGCACCATGGAGACATACAGCAAGATCACACGCTTCTGCCTGATTTGCAACTATGTCACCCGCATTATCGACCCGCTCGCCAGTCGTTGCAGCAAATTCCGCTTCAAGAGCCTGGATCAGGGCAATGCTAAGAGGAGGCTTGAGGACATCGCACAGAATGAGGGTGTTCAGCTTGAAGACGGTGCTGTTGACGCGCTCATCAAGTGCAGCGAGGGTGACTTGCGAAAAGCCATCACCTTTTTGCAGAGTGCGGCGAGACTGGTTGGTGCTGGTAACGAGGAGAAGTCGGCAGATGATGCCATGGACGTTGACAAGAAGCCTGTTACCGTCAAGACTGTGGAGGATATCGCCGGTGTCATCCCCGAGAACACGATTGACAAGCTGGTCAGCGCCATCCGCCCACAGCGCGCAGGCGACACATACCAAAACGTGGCCAAGGTTGTCGAAGACATGGTTGCAGACGGCTGGAGTGCTGGACAGGTCGTTTCTCAGGTACGCAATGCCTCCACTTGTACACAAGGCCCCGATCTAACGAAAATCAGCTCTACCAAGCCATTGTTTTTGACGAGACAGTTCCCGACGTCCAAAAGAATAAGATTGTCCTCATCTTCTCTGAGGTAGACAAAAGATTGGTGGATGGTGCTGACGAGCACCTGTCAATTCTTGACCTTTCGTTGAGAATATCGGGCGTCATGAGCGGCCGCAACAATTAATACAGGAAATTTGGAAGATGTTTTAATGAAGAAGTATTGGCATCCGGACTGGACATTAAAGGCGTTGAACTGGCAAAAATGTGTGTATAGGGTATATACCACTCTTCAAATATGATCTTCATGACCGATGAGACCAAGATCCCCGTGGATGGCAGACCAAATATCCCCAGACTTGGCCGCTGACTCCTTCCTCTGATGTGCACCATGCCTCCTTGCTCCGGTCTTGCTCGCCGACCCCTGTGTAAGCCAAATATCTTCCTCCGTAGTATCGCCGACGGCATCTTTCTCGGACTGATTTTGTCCTAGAAGCCGGTCGACTTCCTGAAGGGCACTCATGGACCCTTCAAGCGCGACTTGGCCCTCCTCAATTTTCTCGGCTACCGCCTCCAGGGTTGCGATCTTTGCCGAATCCGCCGCAAATACCCAAGGCTTGACTCTCTCGGACATTGCCTGCTTTTCGGACACCGCAGAAGCGAAGTCGTCGGCGAAGCCCGACCTTGGCCTGGGTTTAGGCATGGGATGCTCGGGAAGAAGCTGACTTTCTTCCGCGAGATGGTCTAGCGCTTGCCGTGTCTCTTTCGCCTGCTTCGACAGCACATTGTTGACGTGTGACTTGTGCGCGATCATGCCCTTTTGCTCTCGGGACAGCGCCAGCAGCTTTTCGAGGTACGGGATGAGAAGGTGCGTGGTTGGCGCCGGCGGGATCTCCTCGCTCTGCGAAGCTCTCGCGGCTTCGCCTCCGGGTCTTAAGATCGGCTGGGTCTCATCAGAGACCATGTGAAGCAGCGACTTGCGCGCGGCTGTGTATCTCGTGTACTTGTCCCTGATTTCCACCAGTTTTTCGTCAATGTTGGTCTTGTCCGCTGGCTGCCCGTTGCGCTGCGAGTACGAGTCATCTTCACCTTCTCCTGAGGCTTTGCTGAGCTCAGTCTCGATCCAGTTGATGAGTTCAGCACGCGTGGTGTCCAGGGCATGCGCCTTGGCTTCGTCGCTGACTTGCCCCGCCAATTCGCCAGTTCTTTGCCGTACGTCCTGCAACAGCTGTTCTTCCCGTTGCAAAAGTAGCTTGGCTCGGAGGACGACCTTTTCCAGCTGCCCCGCCAGCCCACTCAGATCCGTCGTTGCTGACGTATTCGTGACTGTGAAACTGTTGACAACTGCGGTTGGCACATCGGGAAGAGGCGGTGAGTCTCTGAATACAACTTCCAGGTCGAGAAAGTCCGGAGAGGCTGCCGGCTGGCGCACCAAGAGGTCCAAATACTTCTGAACCGTCTGAAGTCGTTGTTGTTTCTGTCGTAACTTTACTAGAGCTATGTGATCCTCCAGCTGATCTCTGGGATCTACGATCTTGGACCGTGATGGAGGTGCCGTTGCGGTATCATTCCGTGTATTCTCATAGTCGTTGCGAGCTTTGATATTTGCGTCCAGAGCCCTCAGATACTCTCTTTGAAGACCTCTAGCTTCTTTTGTCGGAGTAATGGTGCATGACGCATCAATGAGAGACAGTGGGCTCTCGATGGGTCCTGGTTGACCACATGCTTGAAGATGAAGAGCCAAGGCGCGTCGAATGTAAGCGACCTGTTCCCTCGGCTTGATGTATGGCTGGAGTGATGCCTGAACTTTCTCAATGGCTTTTGGTACAGGATCCATCTCAGAGGTAGCCGGCCATCAAGCCAAGAAACTGGTGCCTGGAGGTTCGCTGATTTATTTTTTGGCCTCGGTGTAAGTAAAATTTAAGAACCTAGGGCCGGTGTTGATATTCGGCCAAACTGAGTTGGGCAGGCACACACTACCTACCTCAGGGGTGGTGTGGATTAGTTTGGCCTCACCTCCACCCTGTGCCGATGTCACGGCGTCACGTGAAGCTACCTAAGCATCCGGGGACAGCCACTAACGCGCTTGTCGCCTAGCGCCACCTCCGGATTTTGCCATAGCAAGCAGAGGAAATTTGTTCCGCGACGGGTGTCGAAGACATTTGATACACGCCTCCGCCCACCTGTCCATCCAGCGATACTTTTCCCATTGAATCAACATAACGCTACGACCAAATCAACAACTTAATATCGGACGGATGGTCTAGAACTCGCGTTGGGTATACGGCGTTTTCAAGGATAAATACTCGGCGCAAGTCGCCTGATGCTGTCGTTTGACAAGCTCCAACACCTCCTCCATCACTCTTAGACTCGAGCGCAACCGAAACGATACGATACCCCTCCACCCACAGCCAAGATGTCGGACCAACACCGCGATGTATCTCAGTACAAGTACTCGGCCATGTCCAACCTGGTCCTCCAGGCGGACCGTCGTTTCGTGTCGCGACGAAACGATGAGGCCACTGGCGATCCCGAGTCTCTCGCCGGTAAGCTGAGTATTCGCGACATGGGAGCACGCGTCGCGCGCGACTCGGCCCCGAAGCAGAAGAAACAGACCGGTCTGCCCGAAATCGAACGCGGAAGGTTACAGGAGGGCGAGGATGTGCTGCTGCGCGAGCAGCGCAAGAGGAAGAACGAGGCGGCGCAAGCGAGGGGAACAGGTGTCTTGGGAACCGGAGACCTGCTCATCGAGGGCATCAACTATCGTCCGAGAACGGCAGCGACCCGAGCCACATACGAGTTGATCCTGAAGATCGTATCCGACAATCTAGGCGACGTGCCCCAGTCAACCGTCTTGAGTGCTGCGGATGTAGTCCTGGAATACCTCAAAGATGATGACCTCAAGGACACGGAAAGGAAGAATGAAGTCGACGACATCCTCGGTGTTTCAATGAGCCCCAAAGAGTTCAACGAGCTCGTAAACCTGGGAAAAAAGATCACAGACTACGATGCGCAAGACGAGGACGAGGACATGGATGCTAACGCAGCTGATGCTGACGGAGCCGAAATGGACGAGAGACAGGGTGTTGCAGTCGTCTTCGAGGATTCCGAAGATGAAGAGGGCGGCATCGTCAACGAGGTCCGAGAGGAGTCTTCTGAAGACGAGGAAGCTGACGAGGAAGACGAAGACAAGGAAGCTCAAGACGGTGCCGACAAGGAGGACATGGACGACGATGCCATGATTATCGATTCGGCGCCGAAGAAACAAGCACAAGACGGCAAGCCCACGAAAACTGTGCCCGCAAGAGATATCGACGCGTTCTGGTTGCAGCGACAGATCGGAAAGCTGTACGAGGATTCCCACGAACAACACGATAAAGCGACACATGCCCTTCGCATCCTCTCCGGCGAGCCAGATGAGCAAGGTGGAGATGAAAAATCGCTTCGCGAAATCGAAAACGACCTCATGGAGCTCTTTGATTACGAACATCATGAACTGGTCCAGCTGCTCATCGAGAACCGGGAGAAGGTTGTATGGTTGACCCGCCACTCAAGAGCTGAGACGGAAGAGGCAAAGGCTGTCGTGGAGCGTGAGATGGCTTCGGAGGGCCTCCAGTGGATTCTCAACGAGAAGTTCGGGAAGAAGACGGATGAAAAGCGGAAGATGGAGATTAAGATGGACATCGACAACACGTCATCACTTAACGCACCCGCACCCGAACCAGAACGCCCTCAGGGCTTGGTCGGTGGGCTGCAGCCGCGGAAACTGATCAACCTGGAGAACTTAGTGTTTGACCAGGGCAACCATCTGATGAGCAATCCCAAGGTCCGGCTACCTGAGGGCTCAACAAAACGGACCTTCAAGGGCTACGAGGAAATCCACGTCCCTGCGCCCAAGAAACGCAACGAGCCAGGCGACTCTCTCATTCCCATCACTGATATGCCCGAATGGTCCCGTCTGCCTTTCAGCACTGCCAAGTCTTTGAACAAGATCCAGTCCAAGTGCTACCCAACAGCGTTCGGAGACGACGGCAACATGCTTATCTGTGCTCCCACTGGTAGTGGAAAGACGAACGTGGCTATGCTTACCATTTTGCGAGAGCTTGGCAAGAACCGCAATTCTGAGACTGGTGATATCGACCTGGACGCCTTCAAGATTGTGTACATCGCTCCTCTGAAGGCTTTGGTTCAAGAACAAGTCGGCAACTTCGGCAAGAGGCTTGAGCCTTACGGCGTCAAGGTATCTGAATTGACTGGTGATCGACAACTCACCAAGCAACAAATTGCTGAAACCCAGATTATCGTCACCACGCCTGAGAAGTGGGACGTCATCACGAGAAAGGCGACAGATATGACTTACACGAACTTGGTTCGTTTGGTTATTATCGACGAGATCCATCTGCTCCACGACGACCGTGGTCCGGTTCTCGAGAGCATCGTCAGTAGAACCATTCGCAAGACTGAGCAGACTGGCGAGCCTGTTCGTCTGGTTGGGTTGTCCGCAACGCTGCCTAACTACAAGGATGTCGCTAGCTTCCTCCGTGTGGACATCAACAGCGGCCTTTTCCACTTTGACGGCAGCTTCCGTCCTTGCCCCCTGCGCCAGGAATTCATTGGCGTCACGGATCGCAAGGCCATCAAGCAGTTGAAGACCATGAACGACGTCACCTACAACAAGGTCATTGAGCATGTTGGCGCCAATAGGAACCAGATGCTCATCTTCGTTCACTCGCGAAAGGAAACTGCCAAGACTGCCCGGTACATCAGAGACAAGGCGCTCGAGATGGATACTATAAACCAGATCCTACGTCACGATGCCGGTAGTCGTGAAGTGCTCAATGAGGCCGCCAGTCAAGCCACCGATAAGGATCTGAAAGACATCCTGCCCTACGGTTTCGGTATCCACCACGCTGGTATGAACCGTATTGATCGTACCGATGTCGAGGATCTGTTTGCTAGAGGTGCTATCCAAGTTTTGGTCTGCACAGCCACCCTCGCCTGGGGTGTCAATTTGCCCGCTCATACTGTCATCATCAAGGGAACCTCGGTTTACTCTCCAGAGAAGGGTAGCTGGGTCGAGCTTAGTCCCCAGGACGTCTTGCAGATGCTTGGTCGTGCCGGTCGCCCGCAATTCGACACATACGGAGAAGGTATCATCATCACGACTCAAAACGAGATCCAGTACTATCTGTCACTTCTCAACCAACAATTACCGATTGAGAGTCAGTTCGTCAGTCGCCTAGTGGACAACCTGAATGCTGAGATCGTGCTCGGTAATGTTAGGAGTAGAGATGAGGGTGTCGAGTGGCTTGGCTACACGTACCTGTTTGTCCGTATGCTGCGGTCTCCAGGTCTTTACCAAGTTGGTGCGGAATATGAAGACGATGAAGCTTTGGAACAAAAACGAGTCGACCTCATCCACTCCGCGGCGACGGTCCTCAGAAAGTCAAATCTCGTCAAGTATGACGAGAAAACCGGAAGGCTCCAGTCAACAGAACTTGGTCGCATCGCGTCGCACTACTACATCACCCATGGTTCCATGGACACCTACAACAACCTCATCCAGCCGTCCATCACGACCATCGAGCTCTTCCGTGTCTTCTCGCTCAGCGCAGAGTTCAAGTACATTCCAGTTCGCCAAGACGAGAAGCTCGAGCTTGCCAAGTTGCTAGGCAGAGTTCCCATTCCGGTCAAGGAGAGCATTGAGGAGCCTCACGCCAAGATCAACGTGCTTCTGCAGGCCTACATCTCACGACTCAAGCTAGACGGCCTTGCTCTCATGGCTGATATGGTCTACGTCACTCAGTCTGCTGGTCGTATCTTGCGCGCCATCTTTGAAATCACCATGAAGAAGGGATGGGCGTCTGTCGCGAAGACCGCACTGGACCTCTGCAAGATGGCTGAGAAGAGGATGTGGCCCACAATGTCGCCACTCCGCCAATTCCCCAGTTGTCCAAGGGATATTGTGCAAAAGTCGGAGAGAATTGAGGTGTCTTGGAGTAGCTACTTCGACCTCGATCCTCCTCGCATGGGTGAGCTTCTCGGTATGCCTAAGGCCGGTAGGACTGTCTGCGGGCTGGTTGCCAAGTTCCCCAGGGTTGAGGTACAGGCGCAAGTTCAGCCGTTGACCAGATCTATGCTTCGAGTCGAGCTCAGCATTACGCCCAATTTTGAGTGGGATGTTGAAGTTCACGGCCCCGCAGAGAGCTTCTGGGTTTTCGTCGAAGATTGCGATGGCGAGGATATCCTCTTCAGCGATCAATTCCTGCTTCGCAAGGAGTACGCTGAGTCCGAATCCAACGAGCACATCGTTGACTTTACGGTTCCGATCACGGAACCCATGCCTCCAAACTATTTCATTTCCGTCATCTCGGACCGCTGGATGCACTCGGAAACAAGACTACCCGTGTCCTTCCATAAGCTGATTCTGCCCGAGAGGTTCCCTCCTCATACCGAGCTTCTCGAGCTTCAGCCGCTGCCTGTTTCCGCCCTGAAGGTCAAGGAGTACACCAAGCTGTATCCCAGTTGGGACAACTTCAACCGCATTCAGACACAAACCTTTAACTCTCTTTACAACACCGACCAAAACGTCTTTGTTGGTGCGCCAACAGGCAGTGGCAAGACTGTGTGCGCCGAATTCTCGCTTCTGCGTCATTGGTCTAAGCCCGATGCTGGTCGCGCCGTCTACATAGCACCCTTCCAGGAGCTGGTTGACTTGCGCCTGGATGACTGGCAAAAGCGACTGAATGGCCTGCGTGGCGGCAAGACTATCGAGAAGCTCACAGGAGAGACAACAACGGACCTGAAGATTCTGGAACGTAGCGACCTAGTCCTCGCCACCCCCGTTCAGTGGGATGTCCTGTCTCGCCAGTGGAAGCGCAGAAAGAATGTTTCGACCGTTGAGCTTTTCATCGCTGATGAGGCTCACCTTTTGGGCAACAACATGGGTTACGTCTACGAGATCATTATCTCGAGGATGCACTACATTAGAACTCAAACGGAGCTCCCCATGAGGATCATTGCTCTGGGTGTCTCTCTTGCCAACGCTCGCGATCTTGGAGAATGGATTGACGCTAAGAAGCATGACATCTACAACTTCAGCCCGCACGTTCGACCGGTTCCCCTTGAACTGCATATACAATCATACACCAACCCTCATTTCCCTTCGCTGATGCTGTCAATGGCGAAGCCGACATATCTGGCCATCACTCAGATGTCTGCTGACAAGCCTGCCATTGTCTTCGTGCCGAGCCGGAAGCAGACGCGAGCCACTACCCGTGATTTGCTGACAGCGGCGTTTATGGATGACGATGAGGACCGCTTCTTACACGCTGAGCCCGAGCAATTACGACCCCTCCTTGAGCGTATCAACGAGGAGGCACTTGCTGAGGCCCTTTCCCACGGTGTTGGGTACTACCACGAGGCCTTGAGCCAGAGCGACAAGCGTATCGTCAAACATCTGTATGAGCACGGTGCGATCCAGGTTTTGGTTGCTTCCCGTGACGTATGCTGGGAATTGAACAGCACTGCTCATCTCGTCATTGTCATGGGCACGCAATACTTCGAGGGTCGTGAGCACCGTTACATCGACTACTCCCTTAGCGAGGTGCTTCACATGTTCGGCAAGGCCCTTCGCCCCTCCAAGGACGGCAGAGGTCGTGGCGTCCTCATGCTTCCAGCAGCGAAGAGAGATTTCTACAAGAAGTTCCTGAACGAAGCGCTCCCCGTCGAATCACACTTGCATAACTACCTCCACGACGCGTTTGTGACCGAGATCAGCACCAAGATGATTGAATCTGGTGACGATGCCATCAACTGGACGACGTTCACGTACTTCTACAGGCGGCTTCTCGCGAACCCAAGCTTCTACAGTTTGACCAGCACGACAGAGGAGGGACTCAGCGATTACATGTCAGATCTCATCCAGACCACCTTGCAAGAGCTGAGCGACTCCAAGATCATTGAGCTTGACGAGGACGATGGTTCAGTCGCCCCCCAGAACGCAGCCATGATTGCCGCCTACTACAACATATCCTACATCACCATGCAGACATTCCTTCTATCGCTGAGCGCAAAGACAAAGTTGAAGGGTGTCTTGGAGATTATCACGTCAGCTACCGAGTTCGAGGCGATCCAGATCAGGAGACACGAGGAGGGTATCCTCCGCCGCATCTACGACCGCATCCCCGTCAAGATGTCAGATCCTGTTTACGACTCGGCGCATTTCAAGTCGTTCGTTCTCCTTCAAGCACACTTCTCTAGGATGCAGCTGCCAATCGACCTTGCGAAGGACCAAGAGGTCATCATTTCCAAGGTGCTCAGCCTGCTGAGCGCCACGGTTGACATTCTCTCATCGGACGGTCACCTCAACGCCATGAACGCCATGGAGATGTCACAGATGGTTGTGCAGGCCATGTGGGACCGTGACAGCCCCTTGAAGCAGATTCCTCATTTCACGCCTGAGGTCGTCAAGGTGGCCAACGAATTTGGGTATGTACCAGTATCACCAATGGAGATTTGCAACGCTAACTCTGATCTTCTCTCCAGTATCAAGGATATATTTGACTTCATGGAGGCGATGAACCCCGAGGAGAACCCTGACTATGCCAAGTTGATCAAACGTCTTGGGCTTAGCCAGAACCAACTGGCTCAGGCTGCGGCGTTCACCAACGACAAGTACCCTGACATTGAGCTCGAACACAGCATCTTGGACGAGGAGGATATTAGGGCCAATGAGCCTGCTTATCTAAGTGTGCACATCCAGCGCAACGTCGATGAAGAGGAGGAATTCGACCCCACTGTGCATGCGCCGTTCTACCCGGCCAAGAAGCTGGAGAATTGGTGGCTAGTCGTGGGCGAAGAAGGCACGAAGAACCTGCTCGCAATCAAGCGTGTCACAATTGGCCGCGAGCTCAAGGTCAAGCTGGAGTTTACAGTCCCGACAGCTGGTAAGCATAACTTGAAGTTGTTCCTAATGAGCGACAGCTATGTCGGAGTGGACCAGGAGCGCGAGTTCTCCATCGAAGCCGCGGAAGGCATGGACGTGGACGATAGCGACGAGGAAGAAGACGATGAGTAGATTGCCCCCCCGAGTTGGGCAGAGGCACGCCATCAGTACGAGATCTCTATGTGTACAATATTCGATCGAGAGGAGTTTGAGGAGGTAATAGACAAATTTCGAACAAAGTCGAATCGTCTTCTCGCTGGCGGCAAACCACGGGCAACTCTTGTCCTCATTCGACAGGATCGAGTCGCCTGATGTCCGGTTGCGCAGACTGTGTGCGGTGCGACAGTAGTTTCGGAGGGTGGTGCTTCAGTGGTCGAGTTGGCGGGCGGATCCCGGACATAGTTGCTCAACCAGGACTATCACGCGGACGAGACTTCTACCGATTCGGATGGACATGGACAGCATGAAGAAAGTCAAAAAATAAAATGAGGGACCAGGTTGCCGTCGTCCGTGATTCTTGGGCTCAATAGGGCACGTAGCGTGTTGTGAGATGCCTAGGAAAGGTACTTATGTCAAGGGGGAAGGGGTGGCTGTGTTGTGATTATGATGGGCTGGGCGCTGGGAGGTGGACGTGGACGGTGGCATTGACCGGGCCACACACGCCCGGCGAGCGTCACGTCCCTCTACACTACTCACCGCACTGCAACTGAGACTCCGCGATTTCACTCGTTCCCTGTGGATCAGCAGCACCTGGTCACCACCCGGTCACGTGTTCGCCGTCATCCGCGTCCAACCTCCAAGAGTTTCTGCGTTCATCTTTTTCCAGCCCGTCGCCTTTTTTTCGCTACCACAACACGGGGAGCTCCCAATTGCGCTCATCATCTTCAGTTCAGCCAGCTTATCCCGCACCATCGTCGCGACATCCATAGTCACGAATCGCGCGTATCAGAACGCGTCTTTCTCCCTTTGACCCATCGCAACCAATCTTTGGCGTCGCGACTCCCCTGTCCAAAACCCCAATCCCTACCTTACATACATACCACCTGCCACCATTATCAGTAGCTATCGCCACATCCCCCGAAATGTCTGACGAGGCGACCACCAGCGGCCAATCCGCGCCTGCTGCGAACGAGGAGGTGGAAAAGAAGGTTGAGGAGACCTCGACCGCGGCTGAAGCTTCTGAGGCGCCTGCAGCTGCTGCTGACGACGCGAAACCCGCCGAGTCTGAGGAAGCTGCCAAGGACAACACCGACAAGGACAAGAAGGAGGACCCCAAGCCCGAGAACGGTACGCGCCACCTCTTCCTCCCCTCTGAGCCATTGGGTCTCGAGCTCAAACTCAACTCTACATACACGTCGCTATCATCATCGCGCAATTGAATAGCTTGCTGACGCATTTGTTATCGAACAGCTGAGACTAAGGACGCGGAATCTGCCGGCAAGCCTGACGAGTCATCCAAAACCGAAGACGCCGACGTCGAGATGACAGATGCAGCCGAGACGAAGGAGACGTCGGCGCCTGCCGCTGACGCGGAGAAGGAATCTGCTGCTGACGCCGCCGATGCGACAGCTGACAAGGGCAAGGCGCGTCGCAGATCGTCGGGTGTCCCGGAGCACAAGGGCAAGAAGCTCAGCAAGAAGGCCTCCAAGGCCAAGCTCTCCCACAAGGACGCGAAGCCTGGCGACCACTTCTTGGTGAAGCTCAAGGGATATCCCCAATGGCCCGTCATCATTTGCGACGAGGAGATGCTTCCCGAGACCCTCATCAAGACTCGCCCCGTCACTGCGAAGCGTGCCGATGGCACATATCGTGAAGACTACGCCGACGGTGGCAAACGAGAGAACGACCGCACGTTCCCCGTCATGTACCTTCGCACGAACGAATTGTGAGTCCAATACCCCACTCAGCTCCCCAAACCTTCGTATTAGGATGTGTAGCTGACATGGTGTCGACAGTGGTTGGGTCCCCAACTCTGCCCTTCAGGAGCTCACCTCGGAGAAGGCGTCCGAGATGCTCACCGACAAGATCAAAAAGGCCGAGTTGCGCGACGCATTCGAGCTCGCAATCGAGCAGAACCCTCTCGAGCACTACAAGGAAGAACTCCAAAAGTACCAGGACGAACTGGCTCAGAAGGCGGCTGCCAAGGAAGCCAGAGAAGCTGCTAAGAAGAACAAGAAGAAGGCCCCGGCCATCATTGAGGATGAGGATGTCGACATGGAGGATGCGGCTGATGAGGAGGTTGCCCCTACACCGAAGGAAAAGTCAAAGACCAAGAAGCGCAAGGCTGAAGATGAGGCGGCCAGTGTGAGTATTTGTTCCATTGCTCACGGGCATAAACTGACAATTTGGTAGACCCCAGCACGAACCGAGTCGGCTAAGAAGCCCAAGATCAAGCTTAACACCTCTTCTACGCCCAAAGCAACGAATGGAACTGCCACCCCCAAGTCTGTCAAGGACTCAGCCTCCAAGCCTGCGAAGACCAAGTCGTCCAAGAAGGATGGTGCCGAGAAGAAGGAGAAGGAAGCTCCCAAGGAGCCTGAGCTGACTGCTGAGGAGAAGCATCAACGCAAGGAAGTAAGTTGCAATTTTGACTTCATGCCCTTCGTGTTCCACGACTTACACGTCCAACAGAAAGAAGTACTGTTCCTACGTCACAAGTTGCAAAAGGGCCTCCTTACGAGGGATCAAGAGCCCAAGGAGGAAGAGATGAAGATGATGTCGGATTACATTACGAAGCTTGAGAGTTTCCCGGATCTTGAGGTCTCTATCATCCGGGCTACGAAGATCAACAAGGTTCTCAAGGCTATTATGAAGCTCGACTCTATTCCCAAGGAGGACGAATTCAAGTTCAAGAGTCGATCCCAGACTCTGTTGGACAAGTGGAACAAGATCCTCAGCGGCGGCGATGCTGGAGGCTCTGCCACACCAGCTCCTACCAACGGCGTCAATGGTACTTCTGGAAAGGCTGCACCGGAGACGAAGGAGACACCTGCTGCGTCCAACGGCGTCAAGGAGAGCAAGGAGGCCGACAAGTCCGAGGAGGCCAGCAAAGAGGCTAAGGACGAAAAGGACGACAAGAAGTCCGATAAAGACAAGACGTCCGAAGAACCTGAAAAGGCGGAGGAGAAGGCCGACAAGGCCGAGAAGTCTGAGAAGGCCGATGAGTCCGCTGAGAAGCCAGCTGAAGAGGTATGAGGCGATGTCTCACCAACCACGACGACGGAAGCTAACCCAATTCGTAGTCGGCACCTGCGCCCCCGGAACCGGTTGAAGCCAAGGCTTAGGGATCCCGTTCACGTCGCAGATCTCCTCGAGAGTAGAGACATGGGCTCAGCAATAAATCTGGGCTATATGGGCTATCGTGGCCTGGCCACTTGCGTTTCCTGGCGTATACGGTTTTCCTCAATCGCAAAAGCGGTACTTTGTCTTGGTTATGGTGTAAAATTACTCGTCTCTCGTCTTTTCGCGGTGCGGTTGGGAGCGTTAGATGGCAGGCACCTGCGGCAATCCCGCAGACGGCGCGCGCTTTAGTCCTAGGGGAGGGTTCGGTGTACAGAGATGGTAAGGAGGCTATACGGTGACAAGGGGACCCGATCCAAACAGGACATATCAGGCATGCCTTTGATGGTCTGCAAAACCGCTTCAAGTTATGATGATGTAGGATGGCACAGGCCCTGATTTTGGAGATGGAACGGAAGTCATCAGGTCCTTGTTTTGCGAAAGCGAGGGAGAGACGAGACTGGTAGTCGTTATTTCCACACGGCCTAAGGGTATTGGTTCTATGTTACTTGTTAGGGAAAATCGATCAGAAAGCACGCATCATGAAAAGGCTGTGATAATTATGCTTGTGGTTTGAGGATTGTAGCAACGAGGGTTGCTAGCCGTAGACTTCCTTGCACTGTGAGGTTGCCGCAGTGTTACATCAACTACACAGTGCGTATAATCCGGTACATGGTATCTGTCTGTGCTCCCTCGTCCGACTCGACGCGTGCCACTCGCAAAAGCGCGTCTCAGTTCCAACAGTGACATACTACGCCAACGAAGTGCAACCGTAATTCCCTACAAGATGAGCGCACAAGACGATCAAACATCTCATTTTCACCAACAGGATCACCAGGTAAGCTCTTCTGTCGAGTTGACTAGTTCTGTGTGTTGACCTGTCCCTTTGAGGCGGCCTATATCTTCCGTCCACAGGGAGAGGAAGGCAAGCCCCAACGGCCAGCCAAGAGGCAGCGGGTATCAAAAAATGCCGTCAATGAAGAAGCGAACAATGCAATTGCAACGACATTCGTGCCATCATTGAATGGCGGCGAGCTCGCGGAGTGCGTACGAATACGCGAAAAGTTATTCGAGTCCGGCTGGTCCCGATTAGAGTCCAAGGTCCAGGTACGCAACCCCTTACTTGTAGCACTATTGTCTTCATCTAACCAGAGTCCCAGAAAATCTTGCGTGATGTGAATTTGGCTACGCTAGAACAAGTGACTGCTTTCATTCAGGAGCAGACAGACACACCGTGAGTCTCCGCCAATATGGCGATTCAGATGCATGTATCTAACGCGGACGGTAGAAGCAAGATTCCTGCCGCCTTCGTCATCACTGGGCCCAATATTGCATCTCAAGATTTGCTATTTGAGCAGCTATCAGAGACGCTTCAAGAGACTACCCGAAGCAAGTTCGTGAGACTCAAGTCGTCCGAGGCATCCAACATCAAGGCTGCCCTAAAGAAGATTGTTGAAGATGCCACATCTCGTGGGTCTCTTGATGACGAAGATGCCGAGCTGGCGTTTGAAGTGAGTTTCAACACTTTTTGGCAGACCAAAGAGATACTGATGAAAGACGCAGGGCCGAAAGTACCTAAATTACGACCTGGAGGGTCTGTATGTCTTCTCGAAAACACAGCAGTGCGATCACATATTTGTCGCGTTCCAAGACAGTGAGGGTTTTGACAGCGCTCTTCTGTCGGATCTCATTACCCTCTTCAAGTGCGTCTTTTCCTCATGTCAGTCTCGAAGCAGACCCTAACAGTCACATTAGCTCGTGGCGACCCAAGATCCCGTTCACTCTGCTGTTCGGTGTTGCGACCTCCGTCGAACTCCTCCAAGCTCGTTTACTCAAATCAGCCTGTCAACACCTCTACGGCGCTCAATTCGATGTCGTGCAGACCGGTACCATTCTTGAGCAAATCTTTAAGCCCACCATCGCGGCAACGGACGCAGCCCTAACACTCGGTCCGAACTTGCTGCACAGCTTGGTAGACAGGCAGCAAGACCAGGTCGCCAGTATCCAGACTTTTGTTGCATCCATCAAGGTGAGAACTAGTCCATCCCAATGATCCCGAACCGGAATTAACTCGGGTAGTACGCGTATATGTGCCATTTTTACGCCAATCCGCTAAGCGTCTTCTCGCTGGAGGACGACGAGATGAATAGCGAGCTTGTCCAGGGCGACCATTTGGAGGCTTTCCGATCGCTCCCTTCGTTCCGACGCGAGGTTGAGAACGCCGTTGAAGCAAAGGATCTAAGATTAGCGAGGTCGTTACTAGAGGACGATGATTTGCTACGGGAAAGGATCTTTGACATTCCTGACAGAAAACGGGAATGGGCCACTGGTCTACTTCGCTCGCTTAAGCTGATCCAGGCTACCGGAGCAGTCCAGGACGACTTTTCTCAAATGTTCATGAAAGCGGTGTCCGACGGCATCGCCCTTTCGTCCGAGAGCTGGGACATTGTTGAAAGCATCAAGCGGATGCAAGCGGACGACTTTGTCTCGATGCTGCAACGGGTCCAAACAACCGTAGCGACCGGCGATGACCAGCTATGTCTCACCGCCTGGGAATCCGAGGCCGGGGACCTTCCGGCAATTGTAAAGAAATGTCTGGCCGAGTCCAAGGAGCTTCTCAGCAAAGCCCAGGAGGACGGCACCACCTTACGGAGCGCGTACAGTGGTCACAGTAGGGTGCTTCGTACAACCGTCGTCGCGCAAAAAGTGCAGCTGAGCCACGATTCGGCCGCTCTCTCTGAGGACGACAAAGCATTCACCAGAATTGTCGACCAGATTGCGGAGCTCTTCGAGGACGTCATACGATGCGAACCTGCCGCAAGTATTTTCTTACACGAGACATGGCTCTATGATTTCAAGACACCCCACCGGGATGTTTTCGTCCCGCGACCCCAGGACGTTTTTGAGCGCAGCCTAACCCGACCCCAGGACTACCTCGCCTGTGCTTGCTGCACTACCGACGAAGGACTATCTACAACACTGCCCGCAACGTCTTTGCTTTACCATCTCTACTTGGAGACGGGCAACCTCATCAACGTCGCCGACTTGTGGTCCGCCTTCTACGCCATGGTGGGCAGCGGCGGCGGTGACGACGCTGAGGATAGCGATGGAAACGCCGATGAGAGGGCAGCGCTGGTGCTCTTTTACCGGGGTCTGGCGGAGCTAAAGGCCCTGGGCTTTGTCAAGATGAGCAGAAAGAAGACGGACCACATCGCCAAGCTCAAGTGGCTGTAGGAGCTCAAAGGGGATTCCGCGACGACGGCCTAGAAAGCGTGAAACGAAGGTCGTGGCGCGGGAAGGCACGTCAGTCGCGTGGTCGGGGGAAAGAATCAAGCGAAAGACGAGTTCTACTTAATGGAATTTTGTCAAGGTGAGGCCAAAGCAAGCATTTCTTACATCTTTGGGCCTTGATATTTTTTTATTCAAATCGAACAAGCAAGATGATGCGTGTTTGCCCCCCGAGAAATCCCCATCTTTTGAATAAATGTCAATGACTCAGATGACTCAGATGGGTGTCGGCATTCTACAGTGTCTTCAGTGTCTTCAGCTGTGTTCTTGAACAAGGCTATTGTCTTCTGGACACTTCTTTGTTCCCGTTGGCCAGACCACCACGGAACCGGTGTGCTCAGCCTCCACCTCAGACAAATTCCGCTGTCCGTCCGCGGGCTGCCGAAAGCACGGAGTTCGTAATTGCCGTCCACAGCGAGGGAGGGGGGGGGGGGAACGGGAGGGGAGGGAGGAAGAGCGGAAAGGGCCAGAGGAACCATGTCTCGGATGCTCCACGTTGGGGCCGGAGGCGTATCTAGTTGCGTCCGGCGCGCGACTCGTCTCTGGGACACCCGGGACACTCGTAAAGTGAGAGGGACGGCGTAAATCGCACCAAAGAGAAGTCGTCCCTTCCCCCGCTCCGCGCCATGTCTCAAGTTACTTTGGCGCATCGAGCGAGATAAAGAGAGACATAGGGGAAGGAATCCGGCTCTCTGGGTCATCTGGCAAACTGAGTTCGGGGGCTGCGCGCCCCCTTTGGCCTGATTTACACAGTATGGACGGCCTCTGGCCGCCGAAAGGACAAAGCAATCTTGTCTCTCCTGACGTATTAGTCCTGCCGCAGCCTCTGTTCGGGTCCCAGTCGCTCGGGTCGCTGGCTTCGCCTTTAACGAAACGAGAGACGGGAGGGCCTGGATCTCCAGTTTTTGTGCTTGACAGTTTTTTTTTTTGCCCTCCCTCTTTTCGATATCGTCTCGTTGGGGTTATTTGTTTTGTCTCGCAAAGGAGAGTTGTTCGGTCAAAGAAACGAAGAACGGCGGGACGGGTGGTGGGGGAGCGTGGGCTTGGAATTCCTCCCATACAAGAAGCAGAGAGTTTCGCTCTAGTCGTTGACGATGAACAGTCTCTCGATATCTCGATCTCATCTTTCTAATTCAAGCTTTCGATGCCCATAGAACACTCACCGTTTATTCTGCTCTGATTCCAAACGTTCTTTTTCCTTCCTGTGCAGGCCTTTGAACACTCCCACCCAAGCCTCTGCCTATCTAAGAATACTATCCTAGAGGAACCGTATCCAAGCTGAAATACGCTAGTCTGTTCTCGCGAAGATCCTCATCACCGAGACGCCTCTATATCTTGATCTCATCTTGAATCTCGTTGAATATCTTTCAAGCCGAACAACACCTCTTCATTCCTCAACGACAACCTCTCCAAACCTTGACTCATTGATACGTCAACTTCTACGAGAAAATAAGTCGTTTGAGAGGAAAGCCCAGCACATCGTGTTGAACAGGTCTTTTAGGAGAAAGGAGAAAAAGTAGAGGAATCACGCGCCAAAACACAAGCCACGATGGCAACCAGACACCACCACACAACCAGCGGAGGCATTGGCAACCGTCGAGCTGGACGTAATGCCGGGTTCCAGGAAAAGATGCGTCAGATGCGTCTGCCTTTGGTTCCTCTCGTCCAGATGTCGACGGGAGCTGTCCACCCAGAATTTCCCGCGACACTGCTCAACTTCTGGCTCTTGACTGAGGCCCAGTTGGACGACCTTGCCCGCTTCTACCACCAAAAGACTCCCTCGCCCTGGTCGGCATCGTACCCTTGTCCCATCACATGGAAGTCCGGTCTCACGCTTGAGGAGAAGAGAAGAAAGATTGGAAAGTTCATCGGTCTTAGGTACGTCGAATTCGACTACACTCGGGATGTCGTCTACTACGACCCCCGAACGTCGACTACACCCCCTCCTCGCCCCCGCCCTTACTCGGAGAACATGTGCTGATCAACGTTTTACCACAACAGAGGCTGCGATACGCCAATTCGCATACGCATCAAGACTGAGGAGCAAATCATGGAGGAGGCGCGGCAGGCGAGATTAGCAGAGGATGATGAGGCTATGAGGAGAAAGATGCCGTGGTACTCATAGATTTACCATGAACCAGATCTGCATAGAGCTGGGGATGCATTTTGCTTTGAAGTCTTTTGTTGCTTTTTCCTGCATGGCACTGCGTTGATATCAATCACATAGCACATTTAGGCGTTGGAGACGGATGGGTACATGACAATAGAGATAGACCACACCAATGGGCAACTACCGGTTTGATCTGGTAAAAGAGCAACGATAACCGATATATTTATAGACTCCCAAATAATTCATGATGACCAGTACGATTCCCGTGTAACCCATAACGCCGAACGCAACCAGACAGCCGTTGTATGCTTTGATCCTCGCCGTTTGTTGTATCATACACGGGCGTGGGTAACGAGGTATCTAGTGACGAGGGGTGTGATGCGAGAGGAGACCTTTGAGCCTGCCCAAGGCACAGATATTAGAGTTGGGTGGAGGAGGAGAATACGCGTAGTGTTTATTTCTTGCCCTTCTTCTTCTTGGAGGGCGTGCTAGTGGTTGAGTCAACAAGAACGGCATCGCCGTCGACACTGGGTGGGGCAGTTGAGTTCTTCTCGGACTCGTCAAGCTCCTTCATGAACTCGGTTTGAATGTTCGCCCTGCGCTTCTCCCACCACTCCTTCTCCTGGTCGACGGTGTTGGCAACCTCCTCGAGGCGGTTGCGCACAATGGTGTTGGCGGCGATCTCGTTGGCGGACTGGAAGATGGACTGGCCCCAGTTGGGGGCGAGAGCGTTGGCCTAAGTCGAGTTAGTCATGCGATGTCTGCGCGCGCTGAACCTGATATACGGACCTCCATCACGACGTCGCGGAGCTCGTCCTCCATTTCCTTCTCGGCGCGCTGGAAACGCTGCCACAAGTCATCACCGACGCTTCCCCGCTGCAGCAACGTGCTGCAGGCCTGCTTGGCGGAACGGATCTGAACAAGCCGGTGGATGTCCTCAACTGCGCGGCGGAGAAGCGCGGCACGGATGACGCTGTCGGGGATCTTGGGGGTCTTCGCCTTCTCCTGGCCCTCCTCGGGGGATCCGATGTGCAGGAGGGAGAGGTAGAGGTTGCGCTGCAAATGTTCGGGGAACCAAGGAGCGAGATTGGCGCTTTGGGCTAAAGTGAGAAAAGAACAGGTCAGCAGTCGTGTTTCCGTATTGTGCGGTCGCGCGCATTGCGGAACCGCGGGTGGAGGGCCGTGGAAGACACATACTCGCTTTCCGTTGTCTGTAGATCTTGGAGAAGGTCATGAAAACGCCGCCGAGGACCAGAAGGTAGGCGAAGGGGAGCACTAGGCCCAACCAGTCTATTTCGAACATGACTGCTGCTGCTGTTGCGAAAATCGTGCGCTCGTAAGGATCGTGGTAGAAAAGTGAAGAGGTCGAACGAGGGACAAAGAAATTGGTGGTGTTTGAAGACGGATGCTCTCTGGCCTGGAGGTTCAGTTGATGCAGCGTGTCCAATTACAATATGACAGCTTGGTCGCAATGGACACTTTTTTGGCTGCCCACCCAGGGTCAAAGATGACCCGCTGCTTTTACTGGACGACGGGATGCGGACCATCCATGTCACCATGCAGAGCAAGCTGGAAAAAGATACCTATACTTTGGGACAGTGTATAAACATTATTTCCCTTCAAGATGTAGATAAAAGCTTAGAAATATCAAAAGCACCCCGCCAATGCTTTACCATTCCAAAGCCATTATGGTCGAGCTTGAGCGTCTTCTTGACTCGACGGAAGCATGTGGTAAAGCAGCGCGGAAATCATTGACCCTAGTCTAGTCGCAAGGTGGCACAAGGGACAAGGGTACCTCTTGTTGGTCCAAGCATGGCAAGTGTGGCTGCATTGCTCAATTGCTCTTTCCTCTCACTCGCGTTGCTTGGTCTCCTTTTTTCTAGTTGTGCCGTGCAGCTATAATCATCATGCTATCCTCAACTCCTAAGGTTCTCAGAACTTCGCTCTTTGAGCAGTTCTCTTCTCGCTCTTTCTCTTCTCGTTCTTCTGCTTCTCGTGCTTTTTCTCCTCGATTCCAACCACAGCGACTCCCGGCGCGTCGTTTCTATTCTTCTGAGCCCCCCAAGAAGCCATCTGGTGTCAAGTTCTGGCCTTTCCTTGCTGTCGTCATTGCAGGAAGCGGCGCTTACAAGCTCCTCGTTGACCAAAGAGCCGGTGAGTGGACGCCCTTTGTTCTTATGCAGCTTACCTGTCCACACCTGCATACACCAAAACCTACCCCTTCTCAAGTCTCGTCAATCTACGAGGAACTCAACTAATAGACTCACCTTTCAGAAATGGCATCCCTCCCCGCCCCCGAAGCTTCCAAGCAGCTGCCCTCCCCGACAAAGTCCACACCTACCTTCTCCCCCGATGAAGTAACTGTCCTCTTCGTCCTTGGCGGTCCCGGCGCCGGCAAGGGCACCCAATGTGCCAGACTCGTCTCCGACTACGGCTTCACTCATCTTTCTGCCGGCGACCTCCTCCGCGCCGAGCAAGACCGTCCCGGCTCGCAATTTGGCCAGCTGATCAAGGACTACATCAAGGACGGTCTGATCGTCCCGATGGAGGTCACCGTGCAGCTGCTCGAGAACGCCATGACGGAGACCATCAAGACCACCGGCAACAAGCGATTCCTCATCGACGGCTTCCCGCGCAAGATGGACCAGGCCGTCAAGTTCGAGGAGGCCGTGTGCCCCGCGAAGCTCGTTCTCTTCTACGATTGCCCTGAGGATGTCATGGAGGGACGCTTGCTGGAGCGCGGCAAGACGAGTGGACGCGCCGACGACAACGCTGAGAGCATCCGCAAGCGCTTCCGCACGTTTGTCGAGACGTCGATGCCTGTCGTTGATTACTTTGCCAAGGAGGGTCGCGTTGTGAAGCTCGATGCGACGCCCCCGCCGGCGGATGTCTACTCCAAGACTCGCTCAGAGCTGTCCAAGAGGCTTGGAATTTAAACTCGAAATGCCCAGAGCAGACTTGAACGTGGATAAATGGTTGAATTTCCCACCGGCTGTCATTCCTTTTGGTCATGGTGCTGAGGAGCAGTAGACTCGTCCACTTGGACAGCATCTGCAAAGGGGCTGATGGAAAGGCTACAATACAATGCGTTGAGAGTAAGATAGTTACTTTGTAGGTTTTGTGTTAATAGAATTATCCTAGACTTGTCAAAGGGCTATAGCCATACAAGTGGTTTATATTATTTCATTGTCCTTCTATTCATCATTTGAGGCGCGACCGTTTAGATGTAACGTAAGAATGCTTGAGCTTTCAGTGCTTCGTAAGGTACGCAAGTACCTAGGTATGGGGAGCTTACCTATCGAATGGACGTGGAACCGCCAACTAACCACCCCTGCTGGGTGCGGTGAATAAGCTCTACCAAGGGGCAAGGTCTGCAGCACACTGAATCTGAGAGGTGTGCCCCCCACCTCCGTCGTTTTGCCGGACCCACTGTAAGGCACCACCTTTGATGACGCTGTTGGCGGTTCGTTCCACCACTTCATCAGTGGGACATCAAGTCCAAGAGCTCTCTCTGCACATCCCACTAAGCAAAAGCTACCTCGGGCAACTTTCCACAAGCTTCCCTTGACCACACCTCCTTCCCTGAGCTCAAGACCACACAAAACGGCAAGTAGCAAAGGAATGGGCTCTTGCTAGAGAGATTCTGCATTATATATTTCCTGCCTTTTCTTCTCCGTACCTCTCCCGATCTGAGATCTCACACAACCCTGCACGGTTTCGCATCCCTCGCCCAAGATGCTTCTCAGACTCCGAGGGCCCGATGGCATGAGCCGCCTGACCATCGACAAGGACGAGACCTTCGGCGAGCTTGGACGTCAGGTATGATGTCTTAAACAAGCTACCGAATACTGATCTAACTCTTCTAGCTGCTTCCGAACCTTCCAAAGACGGTCGACCCCAGCACCATCACTCTTTCTAACGCCCCCACCGGCGGCGATGCTAAGAAGCTCGTTGATATTACGAACTTCAAGATTGGACAGATTGGACTGAAGTAGGCCCATGCATAATATTCAAGCTCGAGATCATATTCTGACACAGGCAGGCACGGCGACCTCATCTTTATCAACTACCAGCACCAGGACAGTCTCTCAAATGGCGCCACCAATGGCGCCCAGCCAACGTCCCATCCACTCGCGTCCTCGAACCGTCTCAACGGAAAGCCCATCCTCCCCACCGAAGACCTCCCGATCGATCCTCCTCCGGTGACTTCACCCTCCGAAAAGATCAAAAACCCCTGGGAAGTCGTTAAGCAGCACCCTCTCGACGACCGCTTGGACAAGAAGGATGGCAAGATTCCGAGAAAGCGCGACAAGATGTGCCGCCACGGCGAGAAGGGCATGTGTGATTACTGCATGCCCTTGGACCCATTCAACGCCAAGTATCTGGAGGAGAAGAAGATCAAGTACTTGTCATTCCACTCGCACCTACGAAAGATCAACTCCGCCACGAACAAACCCGAGCTGGGTAGCTCCTTCATTCCTCCTCTGGTGGAGCCATACTTCAGAGTCAAGCGCGACTGTCCATCCGGCCATCCGCTGTGGCCCGAGGGCATCTGCACCAAGTGCCAGCCTAGCGCCATTACTCTTCAACCCCAGCCATTCCGCATGGTCGATCACGTCGAGTTTTCGTCGCCCAACATCATCGATAGTTTCATTGACGCTTGGAGAAAGACAGGAGGCCAGCGACTGGGTTACATGTACGGCAGGTATACCGAGTACGAAGTCGTGCCACTTGGTATCAAGGCAGTTGTGGAGGCCATCTACGAGCCACCTCAAGTGGACGAACTTGACGGAATCTCCCTGAACGGCTGGGAAAATCAGAAGGATGTTGACGATGTCGCAAGACTGTGCGGTCTGCAAAAGATTGGCGTCATTTGGACAGACCTTCTGGATGCGGGCGCTGGTGACGGATCGGTGGTGTGCAAGAGGCACGCGGATTCTTACTTCTTGTCTTCTCAAGAAATCTGTTTCATTTCACGTTTGCAGGCCCAGCACCCGAAGCCCACCAAGTGGAGCGACAGCGGCAGATTCGGTTCTAACTTCGTCACCTGCATCATTTCGGGCAACGAGTCGGGCGAGATATCCATTTCTTCGTATCAAGCGTCCAACGACGCCGTTGAGATGGTGCGCGCCGACATTATTGAGCCCTCGGCCGATCCCAATGTTATGCTTGTTCGCGAAGAGGAAGAGGATGATGGATCCGTCAGTCGCACAAGATACATCCCGGAGGTCTTCTATCGCAGAATCAACGAGTACGGAGCCAATGTCCAGGAGAACGCCAAGCCGTCTTTCCCGGTTGAGTATCTCTTTGTGACACTGACGCACGGGTTTCCGGATGAGTCCAAGCCGACCTTCACACAGCTCGGTTTCCCTATCGAGAACCGTGAGTACATGGGTGAGAGCCAGGAACACTCAGCAGTCGCCAGAATCCTCAAGTTTTCGGGAGGTCAGAAGCCAGCTGAAGGTGGCCTTGAAATGTCCAACTTTCATCTACTGTGCTTCATCCACCAGATGGATATCTTGTCAAAGGTTTGTGGGCACCTTGTACTTTCAGAGCATTTACTGACAGCTGCGTAGGATGAAGAGTCACTACTCTGCCGAGTTGCGTCGCAGCACGATCTTGCCGACACATATCAGCTACGATCTACCCCTGGCTGGCAGACTTTGCAGGCGATTCTGCAATCGACTGGTGAGCGAATCCCCAAGCGCCCACGGGAGTCCGGGGGCCATTCCAATTCCAATTCAATTGATGCTACTGCTTATCCGCGACCCCCTGGTACCACGGAAGAACCGCTGGCTAAACGATTTGCTGCCTTCAGGCTGAACGAGCGCCGCCCACCGGGGTAAATTTACATACCTTTGGTCTACTTTCCTAGGATTGGTTGCCAGTTACGCGTCAATGACCGTGGTGTATCAACACGATCTTCCAGGGGTCCTGGGTGTCCATTTGCCGAAGGGATAGGGTTTGCGGGTGGTCTGGCTGCTCATTTTGAGGGCCAGGTTTGTTTGTTCGGTACGGTGTTTGGGGGTCGAGGTAGCATATCGGCATCAGGGTGGCATTAGTAGCAGTTCACGGAGGCGATAAGATGGCTGCGCCTCTGAACAACAGATATTCCAAAATAGATGCAGTATTAGTGAAGCCGTCTTCTCGCGGAATTCCGCGGAACAGCGGTGAATATTGTTGTATTGCGCATGGTGGTTGTGTCCCTTTTGCAACTTCGATACTAACTATGATTAACTAGTGCCTCCTGCTTCTATGCTGTCACCTCGTCGGCAGATCACCTAGCCCGTAATAGAAATCATAACCGGGCGGATTGCGAAAGTAGCAGGCCATCGCGAACTGCTATGATGATTACTGCTGCTGTAGGCAAATGTTTTCCTGGTCTGATAATCGTCTCTGTCGTCTCTGTCGTCTCTGTGTCAGCGTATTCACTGTTTACGCCTCTTGCTCTGCACGCACAACATGGTCATAATGGTATCCTGAGTCATTTTCAACTTTTGATTCCGCCCTAAATACTCCAGGCTATCTACAACAAAAATCAAGTCTTTTTGTTTACCCCTAAATCAGGATTTGTTTTTTCGTATCCCCCCTCCGATATCACACCATCGCCAGTAAAAAAAGACGAGTAGTTTCCGGCTAGCCATTAACTCCTTTTGAAAATGAAACAGAGAGAGGGGGTTCGCAGCTTTTGTTTTTTTCATCTTCCCTTTTAAACTCCTCTTCTATATTTACAACGGCTTGCCGCCGAGGAAGTCAGACCAGCGGCGGACCTCAGAGGGAATGCCCTCCTTGCGGGGAAGCTTCTCGCTCATGCACTGAGCGAACAGCATAGCAGTCTGTCACCGTCGTTAGCATTTGCTTCATAGCTGGGGTGTATTGTTCGTGGAATTAAGCTTACCTTGGGCTCCATGAACAGGGGAACGCCAAAGTCGACGGCGTTACGGCGCATGACGTAGTCGACGTCCATGATGGTCTTGCCACGGGCCTGGGCAAGGTTGAAGACACCGCGGATGTCGTACTTCTGGAAGACCTCACGGAGGGCGCGCTTGTCCTCCTTGGGGAACTCAATAACATCAACGGCGACGTTGCCCTTGGCGTTGGACTCGATGAACTGCTTGACCTCGTTGTCGGCGGCGTACAGCTTGTAGCCGAGAGGCTGGAGGTAGTTGACAACAGTGATGAGCCAGTCCTTGTTGAGCTCACCGCCGAAGAGCAGACCCTCACCAGGCTCGGGCATGCGGAAGTTCATGGTGGACTGGAGGGAAGTCCAGTAGGCCTCGACGAGGTCCTTGCCGAAGCAAGCAATCTCACCGGTAGAGGCCATCTCGACGCCGAGGAAGGGGTCAGCGCCAGCCAGACGAGTCCAGGAGAACTGGGGAACCTTGGTGGCAAGGTAGTCGCGCTTAACGGCCATGGGATCCTGGGGCTCAGGAACCTGCTGGCCAACGAGAGCCTTGGTGGCGATGTCGATGAAGTTGGTGCCAAGGACCTTGCTGACGAAGGGGAACGAACGAGAAGCACGGAGGTTGCACTCGATGACCTTGAGTGCAGGCTTGCCTCCCTCGGGGTCATCAGCCTTGATGATTTGCATGTTGAAGGGACCAGTGATGCTCCAGGCCTTGGCAACCTTCTGGGCAATTTCCTTGCAGCGATCCATGGTGGTTTGATCCAGGCTGGCAGGGGGCAGGACGAGGGTGGCGTCACCAGAATGGACACCAGCCTGCTCGACGTGCTCACTGACGGCGTGGATAATGAGCTCGCCCTTAGATGCAACACCGTCAACGTCGATTTCCTGAGCGCCCTCGATGAATTTGGTGATGACGACGGGGTGGTCAGGGGAGACGTTAGAAGCAGCCTCGAGCTTCTCCTTCAGGTCCTCCTGGCTGCGGATGACAGTCATGGCAGCACCAGAAAGGACGTAACTGGGACGGACCAG